CCCCCACACACACACACACACACACACACACACACACACGAAGCATGTTTTCATACTTCTTTTAAAAATTTTTGTTTTTCAAGATTTTTGGTCAACCGTAGCATGGAAACAGCTGCACTATCAACGTGACGTTTGGCAGGAATGTAGATGTGTTTGACCTACACTGCACCAGCCAACGGTTTTACCATAGACCCCCATATTTGAGGAGGGGGCTCCATCCCAGATCCCCACCCCATCTGAAAAGGGGGTGTCTGAACATACAAAAATGCTTATAAATCAAAAACTATTCAACATGGGAGCTTCATATTATTGTTTTGTTGTTGTTTAGCTCCAATGAAGATTCATCAGCTTTCTGAGTACTTTGTGTACAGAATAAAAAAATAAAAAGCTTTAGTATAAAATAAAAAGAAAATATTTCCTGTCTACCTGTGACACACGTAGCAGGAGCGGTCTTTGTGGGTGGGGCATCCCGTTCCTCCACCGATCCCATAAACGTACTGGTTACTTTTGGAGGAGTTCTCTGCAAAGTAGATCCCCGCTCCGAACATGCCACCAATGTATGCGTGACGCTCGTCGAAGCCCTTATGGATGATTGCGTTGATGAAGGGAGAACCTGAGTTAGAAACGACACAAACACATTAATGAATCACACAGCAAAAGCAAATAAAAATAAATTCAATCGCCCTTTATGGACGCGTGAAAAATCTCTCTAAAGCTTGTCCTTTAAGTGAAGTCTGCATTCAAAATGTTCTTAAAAACAACAACATAGAGTCTCTGATCATTCCTGACAGTTTAAAAAATGCAGACGAAGCATTGAGAGAAGCTGTTTGGGTATTTCCTAGAAAAACATTCGATCTAAGAGTCCTGTTAGATACTCTGATCACTGGAGTCTGACACCGTATTTCAGGCATCAGAGAAATCAGATTATTTCCAGGGATGTTTTTTTTTTTTTTTTTTACTCTGCGGCATGCAGTTTCAAAGAAACAGAACCAAACTGCAATCCTGGGGGATAGTGTTGGGGGGGGTCTGGAGTACATTTTTGTGGTTGAAAGGGGATGGATGATAAATGAGAATCGCTCAAGCCCAAAGTCACAGTGGAAGTAAGAAAACGTTGGTGCGCAGAGTTAATCTTCGAGCTCAGGAACGACTGAACGCTGGCTGGGCTTTCTTTGATTTCTGCCCAACAACAGACAGTGAGAAACAGGAACAATTTTTCTTTCTTTCAGCACCTTGGAGGGCTGTCAAACTCAGGTTTTTAAAATCAGAAACGGCCTCTGAGCAGGCAACAGAAGGAGATTTTATTTCAAAGTTATGTGGACTTTTGAACAAAGCTCTTTCTCTTTGTAAAGATGCAGCAGTGTTCTGAATTTTCAACATCAAGGCATTAACAGAACAAAATATTGTTTTGGATAAAAAATAAATGCACAGTAATTTATAAGCTAACACAAGTTGACTGATTTTTAGTAACCAATAGACACTAGATATGTATGTTGATTAGATCACTATATAAACCAAAAGTTAATTATCTACTGGTTGATTAATCAATTTACACATGAAGCAAAAAGATGTTATGTATGTGTCACATTGAATGGGATAAATTACTACGTTTACCAGCTTCATAATCTTTAAACAATCTAAGGCTGCTGTTACAGTACACAGTATTAGAACACAAATTCAAGTTATCATATTTACTGTACCACAAACCTAAAGTTCCTTCGGGTATATTTAAATTTATATCAAGAGTGGAAAATTAATATAATTTAGCATGGTAATGAAATTCTGTCGGGCTGTTTCATACAAAATAATTTTGTTCATGTTTTTAACTACCAGTAGGTATTTTATTTGTACTGTCAATGAATTAGAAAAAAACCCCGCCAGTTTTATTTTACCGATCATCATAAATAACCTTGACCTTTGATGCCCAAATCTAATCCGACTGACTACCACCCTAATGGAGTTATATATACCTATTTATAAAGTAAATATATAATTTCATTGAGGAGATATCGTTCACACAAGACCACCCGTGATGGACGGATACCACACTAACACACAGACAGCCAGAGAACAGTAAGACTCTGGCCCCAGTGGGCGGAGCCATAAAAATGTAGAAAAGCAGTAAAGGCTGAAGTAAGAAAAGCAGCACAATTACTCCACCTGAACCATATAAAACAAGTTAAACCTACGCTTTTTTTTTCTCTACTTTAACACATTTATACTTTTTACCGTGAAAGAGCATGCGCTCGTTGTGGTGGTTGTGATTCTCATCTGCGATTTCCTTCTGCCTGTGCGAGTATCTCTCTCTGAGCTTCTTATTCACCACTTTCTGAATCTGCGCTCAGAAGAAGGAAACATAATTACAGAAGTCATCTTGCAGAAAAAAGGTTGTTTTTCCTGTGTGGAATGTTGTCTGTTTGTACAGCGTGTGTGGTTTTCCTCTGCACCTTAATGATGTTGTACCGGCTGAAGACTCCGCCTGCGTTGCCTCCGTCGCGGTGCTCTCTGATCGTGCTCTGCAGCTGAGGGCGACGTCAACAAGCGCGGCACAAACCAAAAACATACAAACAAACAAAAAAAAAACAGCACATGGGAGATGACTGCGTTAGCTGCTGTTCAGCTGTTAGAAAATCCATACATTTACTGAAGAACCGAAGCAGCAACTCCTTTAATCAGATACCTGCACGATGCCTGTGGGAAATTATGAACAATTCAGCCGAAAACGTGAAGCATCAGCAGTAAAATAAGAGCCGCAGCGTTTAGTTAGAAAATAATGGAGCTGTTTGTGGGAGATGAAGCTGTAATGAGGGCAGATTGCTGATTATCACTGGTTTGTTGTCATCTCCGTTTATTTTTTGAAATCATACATATTAGACCTTACGCCGGTAATTTCTGAGTCCTCGTCTACAGATTACAGTTGAAATTACCTGTAAAATGCCTGTTAACGTCTGTCACTTCTCATTAAGTGAAGCACGTTCACACTGATACGTGCTGTCTACTTCAATCACTCCTCATTTACAGGAGCCGTACGGTCAATGAAGCAGCGGAACAGAGCATCTTGTTCTGAGGAGGGGACACGGGACACGTGGGTCTTCTCTCACCACGCGCACATCATCCGGGGAAAACCTAAACCTGCTTAATCAAGCCTGCGATGAAGTCAAATAAATGATTACTGCCCTTTTATAACGTAAACGGGCTCTTACTTCCTCCTCCACGGACTGGAACTCTTTGTCATCTGGTGCCAAGTCGATCAGCACGGTGCCCTGACTGGAGCAGTGGAACGTCAGGTATGGGTTTCCACCTGCAAACAGGTTTTAAAACAAATCAGGACTTAAATGAAGTGGAAATGACGAAGATGAGCACATTCTTCCTCACACACAAACACCTTTTAACTTGCAAACCCTAAAATCAAAGATTTAAACTATTATTATTATTATCATCATCATCTTGTTACCCGATGTAGATTAGTGGGTTATCACCTGAGGTGGGTAAAGTACCCAAAAATTGTACTCAAGTAAGAGTAGCACTCAGTAGTGGACAGTAACAAAGTACATTTACTTGAGTACTGTACTTAAGTGCATTTCTTTGAGTACCGTTACTTTACTTGAGTAATAATTTTCTGGGAACTTGTGACTTTCACTCCACTACATTCCTAGGATACTTGTCAGTTACTTGCTCCTTTTCACTCAGCATAGCTTTGTAATCAGCTGTTGTTTTTCTTTCTTGAAATGTAATTGGCCACACAATATTTTCCTCACAAGGAGAACCAATCACACCAGGTGAAAGCAGTCCATTACAGCGACACCTTCCTAAAGAAATCGATTAACTCAATTTTGCTAACAAAGGACTTGGGCGATTATTTTAAAAGGTAATGACAGTTGTCTCCATCCTGGTGTTACCTGATGGGGCTGCTGCTTGTTTTTCATGGGAGCTACTGAGAGAAGCTAGCTTGTCAATTTACTCACAGTTAGTCGTCTTGTGTGAGCTTCATGTGTTTTTTTTTTCACTTGAGAAGTATTCCAACTATTTCATCACCTGTTTCCACTACAAGACACTTGCTATTATTTTTTTCGCAGTCATATTAAAAAAAATCCCAAATTGGACGTCGCTGCTTTCTCTCAACTTTTGTTGTCATCATTTTGCAGGCGATGCTGAGCAGCAGCAGGTTGTAAACAAATGACGTTACGGACCATGACGTGCCTTAAGCTGCCTGCAGCTAATGTGAAACTGCTCGATTTGAAGAAAAAAAAAGAAGAAGATTTGTATTTTATTCAGTCCACACAGCTTAAAATAAATTGACAAACTTTAAAACGAAAGGTATTCTTTTTATTATTTCAGTTAGTTTTAGTTAGATTTGTAAAACGATAATACGGTTCCAGTTAGTTATTGTTTTTTTTTTTTCATTTTATTACAGTTTTTATTTATTTTAGTTAACTAAAATAATTTTTCAATTTGAGTTTTTATTTCATTAGTTTTAGTTAACTATAATAACCCTGGCTTGGAGCCTCTAGAACATAGGTTCTCAAACTGGGGTCCCAGGACCCCCAGGGGACCACGAGCCGTGTCTTAGGAGTCCTCAAAAATTTTCAATAAATTGTAAATTTGGTTTTTATTTTTAAAAATGCATATGGGGAATAATGCACTAGTAAAACAAACATACTAAACCAGACAAAGAATAATATTACTGTGACATTTAGGGGTTAAAATAACAGTAAATTATTTTTGTATTAACAGCATGGGGTTCATGAGGGGGTCCCTGGGATGTTTTCACCCTTGTAAGGGGTCCCCAGACACTAAAGGTTTGAGAACCTCTACTCTAGAAGTTCAGAAAGCTGAATTTGGTCTGTATAAACTTTTATAAAGACCCCAACTGAATGATTTAAATGTGAAAATGAAGGATTTAAAAGCATCATATCTCTCCTTTAAGGGCTTTTAATTTATTCAAGTAAAAAATCAGAACCTGTTTAAAAATGTGTGAATCTGTGTGTTACTGACCCTGCTGGCCTCCAAGGAGCCTCTCAATTCCCTTAATGAGTTTGTGCCTGTGACCGTAGGCATTTATTCCGATCTCCTTCAGCTCCTCGTGACCCATGTCTGCGAGTACATCCAGTGAAATCTACCCAGAGACAAAAAGTAAAAAAAAAAAAAGCATCTCATCAGGTTTGCTTATTTTCTTCACTGCTAAAAGAATAAAAACTGATAGGAACAGTAAACAAATTACGACTGCATACAAGAAACGTCCATCACCAGCAGGTATTTTATTTACGTTCTTTAAGTAAACACATGCAAATTCAATGGCGACAGCAGCAGTTCATAAAGCCGTTCATCAAAACTGATCCATTAATGACTAAGGGCTGAATAATCAATGACACATTACGGAGAAAATAAGCCTGACAAATATTCATGAAAGAAGGAAGAGGCAGGAAGAAAAGGTCACCGAACGAGGTGGCAGCAATCACGGCGCTGATATGCAAATGGAACGATGGTGAAAAGTTCTTTCTCCTCCCTGGGTTTGCTCATGGAGATCGGAGATGAGATTGGCTCAGCGGTGCAGAGATAATTTTTCTCTGCAACGCGCCGATCACAGATAACAGGAATAAATCATCGCAGCCTAAACACTGTGCTGAAAAATTACTGAGACGCTCATCAGACTACCTGTGCAGCGCCAAGACCTTCTCCGAAAACAAGTTTCTGACTGACAGCAAAAAAGATGAGAACTTCAGCTTTTTAACCTTACAATTACATATTTTAGTAACTTTGTTTAAAAAAACACCATCAGGGTATTTTTAAGTAAAAACAATAATTATCAGAACTGCAATCCCTTTAGCTAAACCCTTAAGTTGGACAAATAAAGACTTACATCTGTGTTTGATACATTTAATCATGTAGACATTTAAAAATCTATTAAGTATTTTGATATTTTGTGAATGTGCACAGCTTTCGTCTGTGCAAGGCACCACACTGAGAAATGTAAATTATATATTAAATTATCTTCTTTTTAAACATTGCTAAAAATCAGCAGAGCCCTCAATCTGAACAGTAATGAAGTCTATGTTTAGAAAAAAGCAACACAAGAACCCCGACGGCTGCACAAACACGTTATCTTCATCTTCTTTTTAATTTCTCAGCTTCTAAGTTGGCTTTGTTTCCTTCTCCTCGACTTCCTGTTGTCCCATCTGTCTTTTCTCAGGAATCTAAACTGTTTTAATTAGCACTATTTACTTACAGCGCAGTCAGATGGGAATACCATGAGGTTTAAAGACGTGAGCCAGTAAAACCAAACTAGAGCAAACAATATAAGTAGTAGACTAATTAAAACTTTTAGTTGCTGCATAAAAAGTTAGAATGTTTATTTTATTTATTTAGTTTTCGAACTACCAATATTTTTGTCATCCCTGAGGGGAAAACACGGTCTCTGATTCTAATGGTAACGAAGACGCTCCTGGGCTATGATGACAAAGAACTGACACAAACAATGTAATATGGAAGAAAAACAAATTAGAGAAATAGTTGTTTTTCTGTGGAAATCAGTGTGAATACTGAGTGCCAAAATGACGTTGGTAAAATTAGCTGAAGAAGGTGCAAACTGACTTATTAAACTAAACGAAGAAGAACACTAGCATGCAAAAATTATTACTAAGGATTGCTAGAAGTTAAAAATATTAATAGGCTAGTTAGAAGCTAAAATGAACAAAGTGCTAGCTAAAAGCTAAAAGTAGCAAAACACAAGGTAAAAGCAGCAAATGGCTTGTTAAAAGTTAAACAAAAAGACCAAAAGGTAACTAAAAGTAGGAAAAGACTGATATAGCAAAAATTTTATTGAATGGCTAAAAGTAAAATATGGCTGTTAAAAAATAAAACCATAAAAAATAATAAAGTTAAAGTATCAAAAGACTGGCTAAAAGCTAAGAGGAGCAAACAATTAGCTAAAAGCAGCAAAAGACTAGCTTAAAGGTAAAAGTAGCTATGGATGGATGGAGTGAGTGAGTGAGTGAGTGAGTGAGTGAGTGAGTGGGTAGGTAGGTAGGTAGAGTGATAGATAGATAGATAGATAGATAGATAGATAGATAGATAGATAG